GCACAAAGTTTGTTTAATAAAGGCAGTATTCTTCTAATGCTTCGAGAAAGGCAGAAACAGAACTTTTTCCTCACAGAATCAATACGTTGGCTAGCGTATCACTCCAGGAATCTTTTCCTAGTATTACTTAAGGAAATAATACTAGGAAAAAATGTCCTCGCTTGTTCAGAAGGTCAGTTCGGCTTTACAGGTAAATGCGCATTTAAAGATAAACAAAACAACGTAGCGGTATAGAAACAGAAAATAATGACAAGACGACGTGTATTCACTCGACATTAGACAACAATTTGCTTTGATTATGAAGACGAAAGTAATATGGATGAGATATTAAAAAAACGAAGCTTCTGTCACTGCAGCCGTCGGCAGTGACCTTCACGAAGCCGGGTACACGGGCCTAAAAGACGTATATTCCCGTATTATAAGGATAAGACCGTCACTGATTTAAGAATTTGACATGAAGCTTCTTTATTAGTTACTTAATTTACCTACCAACTTATCTCTTCACATCCGTCCTGGTTTCATCTCTTTCTCTTTCTCTCTTGCTCACTCCCCCCCATCCCCTTTCTCTCTCTCTCTCTCTCTAACTAATCTCCCCTCGCCTCTTTATCCCCCGACTCCTCATTCTATCTCCTTTCTCGCTATCCCCCCCCCCCCTCCAGCCTTGAAATCTATTCATTGTCGTCCCGCAATGCTTTTTCCAGACGCTGCGAACGTGCATAATCAGACGGATGTTCAGACATTTCTCAACGCTTTTTGTAAAGCGAATGCAGATAATAAAGGCTGCCATGTAAGTATTCAAAGACTTTGGTAAATGTTCGCTTTAGTAATTACATCATTTCAACTAACGAATGTTGAAGATAAAATCAAACTATGTTGAAAACGAAACTCCACCTCACAATGATTTCACTATTGATCCATACCGTTAACAGCATCACGTCCCCCCTCCTTCCATCCACACAGAGCAAGCCCCTCGTGACAGAGGGAGGCGCTGGAGGATCCATCCCCGGGCTGGACCAAGGCAGCAGTGTGGCGTGCCTGCCGGGAACGAAAAGGTGCACGCAAATGCCGAATCTGTGTGTGCCTTCAGACATTCCCTGCAGTGTTATAGGTGAGACTGACAGTTTGAGATATGGTTTTGGTGTGGATTTATGCCTACACAAACACACATATATATTTATACATACATGTATATGTACATTTATACATATGTTACATAAATACATTATCACCTTTATGTATATGCATTTCATATATATATATATATATATATATATATATATATATATATATATATATATATATATATATTTATATATATATATATATATATATATGTGCGTGCGTGTTTATATACATATATATGTACTACATATACATGATAATTTACATATATATACACATGTACATATATATATATATGTATATATGAGTGTGTGCATGTAAATATATATATGAATGTATATATATGTATATATTTATATATATATATATATATATATATATATATATATATATTCCTACATATATATGGTTGTGCCGAGGCGTCGCCCGGCCGGAGCCCCACAAATGGGGTCAATCTGCAGCGAGCGTGCCGTGTAGCGGCCTGGAACATCCTCAGTCTCTCGGAGGATGATCGACTGCCTTTGTTGTCGGGGGAGCTGGGGAGGCTGGGGATTGCCATCGCTGCTCTCTCTGAGGTGCGACGGCCTGGTTGTGGTGAGACCAGTAGTGGGGGTTTTACCTACCACTGGTCTGGCTGTAGCAATGGTGCGCGCCTTAGCGGAGTCGCGGTGGCTGTCTCTGACCGCTTCCGTTCCTCAGTCAAGAAGGTTACCCCTGTTGACGAGCGTATTCTGCTTGTGAGAATGAAGCACACTTTGGGCTTCATATCTCTAATTGCAGTTTACGCTCCTACTGAGGGAAGTGGGCTTGAAGAGAAAGAGATGTTCTACGCCAAACTTGACTCTATAGTGGATCAATGTCCCCGGGGGGACACCCTCATGGTCTTGGGGGACTTCAATGCAGTTACTGGCACTGACAGGGAAGGATACGAGCTATGCATCGGTCCCTATGGCTCTGGTACTAGGAACATCAATAGCTCATACCTCTTAGACTTCGCAAGATCTAGGAGGCTGAGGATTGCGGGCTCGTGGTACCAGAGACGAGATCTACACCGCTGGACTTGGTACTCCAATACTGGCATTGTAGCTAAAGAGATCGACTATATTCTCGTGGATACTCGTTGGAGGATCCTTCAGAACTGTAGAGTTTTTAGGAGTGCTGAGTTCTTTGCTACCGACCACAGACTTGTTGTCGCAACATTAAGGCTCTGCCTCAGATCTAGACGCATCCCGAGATCTCACCAGCAGGTGTTCCATTTCGAGAGGCTCAAGAGTGAGGAGGTGGCTCAGGAGTATGCAGTGGCAGTCTCAAATCGGTTTGAAGTGCTTGGTACTCTACAGGACCCTGCTGAACTGTGGGATACCTTTAAGCGAGGAACTCTATCAGCTGCCGAGGAGTGCCTTGGTGTCCGACCTCGGCGAAGGAGGTGTGTTGTCTCAGACGAGACACTGAACACTATAGAGATGAGTCGTGCTGCCAGACTGGATGGGAACCATGTCTTGCACAGGGAGCTGTCTCGCTCTGCTAGGGCCTCTTTGAGAGTGGACCAAGAGAAGTACGTTAGGGGCATCGTGGAAGAGTTGGAAGGTCATTTTGCTCAAAATGACCTTCGACCTGCTTTCCGAGCCCTGAGGGAATTCCGATCAAAGTCCATCTCTCAATCGGGCTCAGTGAGAGCAGAGGATGGTTGCATTGTGTCAGAGCCTGGTGGCTGGCACACAGCCACTAGTGGCTGATCCACCAATCAATGAGGCACCACCTTCCATCGAAGAGGTGAGAAGGGCAGTGTCTAAGCTGAAAAGTGGAAAGGCTGCTGGTGTCTGTGGGATTGCTGCAGAGTTATTGAAGGCGGGTGGAGAAGCCATGATCTGTGGTTTGCATGCAGTCCTGTCTGCCGTTTGGGAGGCTGGTACCATTCCCCCTGACTGGAAAAGGGGCTTGGTCATCCCTATCTGGAAAGGGAAAGGGGACCAAAAGGACTGTGGCAACTACAGAGGTATTACATTGCTCAGCGTACCAGGCAAGGTCCTCGCTCATCTGCATCTGGCACAAGTGCGCGACCACCTATCACGAGCACAGAGACCTGAGCAGTCTGGTTTTACACCCAAGAAGTCAACTATAGAGCGTGTCTTAGCACTTCGTGTCCTTGTGGAACGCCGACTTGAGTTTCAACAGGGTATGCTTGCAGCTTATGTTGATCTCAAGAAGGCTTTCGACTCAGTGCACCGGGAGAGTCTCTGGAGCCTACTGGGTCTCCGTGGGATCCCCCCTGGAATTATTGGTTTGCTGTCTGGCCTGTATACAGATACTGAGAGTGCTGTCAAGTGTGGGAAGGGCATCTCTGCCTTCTTCCCGGTGTCTGCCGGGGTGAGATAGGGATGTGTCCTGGCCCCAACCCTTTTCAACACTTGTATGGACTGGATACTTTGCCGTACCGTGAACCGTAGTTCCTGTGGGGCATCAATTGGTAATTTCAAGGTCACAGACCTTGACTTTGCCGATGATGCAGTGATTCTAGCGGAGACATTAGAGGTCCTGGAAGTAGCTCTCGAGGCGCTGCATGAGGAGGCAAAGCCATTGGGACTCGCGGTCAACTGGACCAAGACCAAGGTTCAGGAATTTGGGGACTTTTTGGATGTCGATGCTCAGTCTGTGCATGCCTGTGGCGAGAACATTGAGGTCTTGGATAGCTTCACTTATCTTGGTAGTGTAGTGCAGAGCAACGGAGGTTCCGACCGGGAAGTCACTCGACGACTCGGACTGGCCTACGGCGTTATGGACTCACTCAATAGGAGTATTTGGCGCTGTCGGTATTTGACTAAGAGAACTAAGATCAGGCTCTTCAGAGCACTGGTGATCCCGGTCTTACTCTACGGGTGTGAGACCTGGACACTGATCAGTGCTCTGAAAGCCCGTCTTTACTCCTTCGGTACTAAGTGTCTTCGCAGAATCATGGGGTATACCTGGAGGGACCATGTGTCCAATCAGAGGATACTCCATGAGACTGATTCAAGACCTATTACCAGTCTGATACGAGAGCGCCAACTTCAGCTCTATGGACATGTGGCTCGTTTCCCTGAGGAAGATCCGGCTCATAGGGTCATCTCCGAGAGGGTTGACCCAGGCTGGAGAAGACTAAGGGGAAGGCCACGGAACTCATGGCTGAAGCAAGTCGATCAGATCTGCCAAGATGTACTGGGAGTGGGAAGGAATGTTGCATGGAGGCTCGCTCGGAGGGACCCCAGGAGCTAGAGGCAAAGGTTGGGCGCGGCAAAGCACAGCCAAGCGTATGCCCCCTTATGATGAGGATAAATGTTTATATGTATTTATATAAATTCATATATGTATTTATGTAAATTCATATTTTCATTCACATATATATGTTTATATTTATACATATATGTATTCATATGTATATATGTATATATATATATTCATATATATATACAGATACATGTATATGTGTGTGTATGTAAATGTATATATATAAATATACATATGCATATAATTTATATATATCCACACACACGTGTGTGTGAATATATACACATTTGTAAGATATTTACACACATATGAATATATGTATATATGTCAGAGTATACTCATACATACACATACATATACATATATGTGTTTATATATATATATATATATATATATATATATATATATATACATGTATACATATATGTTTTAATCATTAGTGAAAAACTACTTGTTCTTGCTCCGTTAAAAGTGCATTATTTTAATTACATTGCTACATAAAGTTTGTTCACTCGACATTAGATAACACTTTGCTTTGATTATGAAAACGAAAGAAATGTGGATAAAATATCTAAAAACGAAGCTACTCCGTCACTGCAGCCGTCGGCAGTGACCTTCACGAAGCTGGGCGCTCGGGCCTAAAAGACGTATATTCCCGTATTATAAGGATAAGACCGTCACTGAGTTAAGAATTTGACATGAGGCTTCTTTATTTCTTACTTATTTTACCTACCAACTTATCTTTACACATCCGTCCTGTTTTCATTTCTCTCTCTCTCTCTCTCTTTCTCTCTTCCTCACTCTCCCCATCTATTTCTCTATCTCTCTCTATCTCCAACCAATCTCCTCTCGCCTCTTTATCCCCCGACTCCTCATTCTATCTCCTTTCTCGCTATCCCCCCCCCCCCTCCAGCCAGTAGCCTTGAAATCTATTCACTGTCGTCCCGCAATGCTTTTTCCAGACGCTGCGAACGTGCATAATCAGACGGATGTTCAGACATTTCTCAACGCCTTTTGTAAAGCGAATGCATATATAAAAGGCTGTCACGTAAGTATTCAAAGACTTTGGTAAACGTTCGATTTAGTAATTACATCATTTCAACTAACGAATGTTGAAGACAAAATCATACTCTGTTGAAAACGAAACTCCACCTCACACTGATTTAACTATTGATCCATACCGTTAACAGCATCACGTTCCCCCTCTTTCCATCCACACAGAGCAAGCCCCTCGTGACAGAGGGAGGCGCTGGAGGCTCCATCCCCGGGCTTGACCAAAGCAGCAATGTGGCGTGCCTGCCGGGGACGAAAAGGTGCACGCAAATGCCGAATCTGTGTGTGCCTTCAGACATCCCCTGCAGCGTCATAGGTGAGACACGCAAGAGGTCGTTGGGCATCAGCTCGATTGGTGTGCAGGGCGGGGCTGTGGCAGTTTGAGATATAGTTTTCGTGTGGATTTATGACTATACAAACACACATATACACGTGTTTATATCTACATACATATGTACATTTATATATATGTATGTTATATATATATATATTATCATATTTATATTTATTTATTTCATATATGTATATATATGTTCGTGTGTGTTTATATACATATATATGTAATACATATACATGATAATTTACATATATATACACATGTACATATATATGTATATGTATACGTGTGTGTGTGTGTATGTGTATATATATGTAATATATATATATATGTATGTATGAATGTATATATCAGTATATGTATATATATATTCATATATATGTTTATAAATACATGTATTCATATATATATATATATATATATATATATTCATATGTATATATATATATATATATATATTCATATGTATATATATATATATATATATATATATATATATATGCACACATATATCTGCATATGCGTTTGTATGCTATATGTATATATATATATATATATGCATATTATATATATATATATATATATATATATATATATATATATATATATATTCATATATATATATATATATATATTCATATATATATATATATATATATATATATATCAATATATATGCACACATATATCTGCATATGCGTTTGTATGCTATATGTATATATATATATGCATATTTTATATATATATATATATATATATATATATATCCACAAACATGTAGGTGAATATATACACATTTGTAAGATATTTACACATATGTATATATGAATATATGAGTATATGTATATATATGTCTGTGTGTACACATGCATACACATTCACATACATATACTTATATGTATGTGTATGTGTTTTTATATATTTACATATATATATAAATATTCTTATTAATCATCAGTGAAAAACTACTTGTTCTTGCATGTTAAAAGCGCATCATTTTAGCTACAATGCTGCACAAAGTTTGTTTAATAAAGGCAGTATTCTTCTAATGCTTCGAGAAAGGCAGAAACAGAACTTTTTCCTCACAGAATCAAGACGTTGGCTAGCGTATCACTCCAGGAATCTTTTCCTAGTATTACTTAAGGAAATAATACTAGGAAAAAAAGTCCTCGCTTGTTCAGAAGGTCAGTTCGGCTTTACAGGTAAATGCGCATTTAAAGATAAACAAAACAACGTAGCGGTATAGAAACAGAAAATAATGACAAGACGACGTGTATTCACTCGACATTAGACAACAATTTGCTTTGATTATGAAGACGAAAGTAATATGGATGAGATATTAAAAAAACGAAGCTTCTGTCACTGCAGCCGTCGGCAGTGACAGTGACGAAGCCGGGTGCACGGGCCTAAAAGACGTATATTCCCGTATTATAAGGATAAGACCGTCACTGAGTTAAGAATTTGACATGAGGCTTCTTTATTTGTTACTTAATTTACCTACCAACTTATCTCTTCATATCCGTCCTGGTTTCATCTCTTTCTCTTTCCTATTCCTCACTCCCCCCCTCCCCTTTCTCTATCTCTCTTTCTCTAACTAATCTCCCCTCGCCTCTTTATCCCCCGACTCCTCATTCCATCTCCTTTCTCGCTATTCACGTCCCCCCACCCCCACCCCCTCTCTATCTCCAGCCAGTAGCCTTAAAATCTGCTTTTTCCAGACGCTGCGTACGTGCATAGCCAGACGGATGTTCAGACATTTCTCAACGCCTTTTGTAGAGCGAATGCAGATAATAAAGGCTGCCATGTAAGTATTCAAAGACTTTGGTAAACGTTCGCTTTAGTAATTGCATCATTTCAACTAACGAATGTTGAAGACAAAATTATACTTTGTCGGAAACGAAACTCCACCTCACACTGATTTCACTATTGATCCATACCGTTAACAGCATCACGTCCCCCCTCCTTCCATCCACACAGAGCAAGCCCCTCGTGACAGAGGGAGGCGCTGGAGGATCCATCCCCGGGCTGGACCAAGGCAGCAATGTGGCGTGCCTGCCGGGGACGAAAAGGTGCACGCAAATGCCGAAACTGTGTGTGCCTTCAGACATCCCCTGCAGTGTTATAGGTGAGCCTGACAGTTTGAGATATGGTTTTGGTGTGGATTTATGCCTACACAAACACACATATATATTTATACATACATGTATATGTACATTTATACATATGTGTTACATAAATCCATTATCACCTTTATGTATATGCATTTCATATATATATATATACATATGTATATATATATATATGTGCGAGCGTGTTTATATACATATATATGTACTACATATACATGATAATTTACATATATATACACATGTACATATATATGTATATGTATATATGAGTGTATGCATGTAAATATATATATATATGAATGTATATATATGTATATATTTATATATATATATTCATATATATGTTTATATGTATTTATATAAATTCATATATGTATTTAGGTTAATTCATATATTCATTCACATATATGTTTATATTTATACATATATGTATTCATATGTATATATGTATATATATGTTCATATATATATACAGATACATGTATATGTGTATGTAAATGTATATTTATAAATGTACATATGCATATAATCTATATATATCCACACACACGTGTGTGTGAATATATATACATTTGTAGGATATTTACACACACATGAATATATATATATATATATATATATATATATATATATATATATATATATGTCAGAGTATACTCATACATACACATACACATACATATACATATATGTGTATATATATATATATATATATATATATATATATACATGTATACATATATGTTTTAATCATTAGTGAAAAACTACTTGTTCTTGCTTCGTTAAAAGTGCATTATTTTAGTTACATTGCTGCATAAAGTTTGTTCACTCGACATTAGACAACACTTTGCTTTGATTATGAAAACGAAAGAAATGTGGATAAAATATTTAGAAACGAAGTTACTCCGTCACTGCAGCCGTCGGCAGTGACCTTCACGAAGCCGGGCGCTCGGGCCTAAAATACGTATATTACCGTATTATAAGGATGAGAAGACTGTCACTGAGTTAAGAATTTGACATGAGGCTTCTTTATTTCTTACTTATTTTACCTGCCAACTTATCTTTACACATCCGTCCTGTTTTCATTTCTCTCTCTCTCTCTCTCTCTCTTTCTCTCTTCCTCACTTTCCCCTTCTATTTTTCTCTCTCTCTCTCTCTCTATCTCCAACCAATCTCCTCTCGCCTCTTTATCCCCCGACTCCTCATTCTATCTCATTTCTCGCTATCCACCCCCCACCCCCCTCCAGCCAGTAGCCTTGAAATCTACTCATTGTCGTCCCGCAATGCTTTTTCCAGACGCTGCGAACGTGCATAATCAGACGGATGTTCAGACATTTCTCAACGCCTTTTGTAAAGCGAATGCATATATAAAAGGCTGCCACGTAAGTATTCAAAGACTTTGGTAAACGTTCGATTTAGTAATTACATCATTTCAACTAACGAATGTTGAAGACAAAATCATACTCTGTTGAAAACGAAAGTCCACCTCACAATGATTTAACTATTGATCCATACCGTTAACAGCATCACGTTCCCCCTCTTTCCATCCACACAGAGCAAGCCCCTCGTGACAGAGGGAGGCGCTGGAGGCTCCATCTCCGGGCTGGACCAAGGCAGCAATGTGGCGTGCCTGCCGGCGACGAAAAGGTGCACGCAAATGCCGAATCTGTGTGTGCCTTCAGACATCCCCTGCAGCGTCATAGGTGAGGCACGCAAGAGGTCGTTGGGCATTAGCTCGATTGGTGTGCAGGGCGGGGCTGTGGCAGTTTGAGATATGGTTTTCGTGTGGATTTATGACTATACAAATACACATATACACGTGTTTATATCTACATACATATGTACATTTATATATATGTATGTTATATATATATATTATCATATTTATATTTATTTATTTCATATATATATATATATATAAGTTCGTGTGTGTTTATATACATATATATGTAATACATATACATGATAATTTACATATATATACACATGTACATATATATGTAAATGTATATGTATACGTGTGTGTGTGTGTATATATATGTAATATATATATATGTATGTATGAATGTATATATCAGTATATATATGTATTCATATATATGTTTATAAATACATGTATTCATATATATATATATGAATGTGAATATATACACATTTGTAAGATATTTACACATATGTATATATGAATATATGTGTATATGTATATATATGTCTGTGTGTACACATGCATACACATTCACATACATATGCATATATGTATGTGTATATATTTACATATATATATAAATATTCTTATTAATCATCAGTGAAAAACTACTTGTTCTTGCATGTTAAAAGTGCATCATTTTAGCTACATTGCTGCACAAAATTTGTTTAATAAAGGCAGTATTCTTCTAATGCTTCGAGAAAGGCAGAAACTGAACTTTTTCCTCACAGAATCAAGACGTTGGCTAGCGTATCACTCCAGTAATCTTTTCCTAGTATTACTTAAGGAAATAATACTAGGAAAAAAAGTCCTCGCTTGTTCAGAAGGTCAGTTCGGCTTTACAGGTAAATGCGCATTTAAAGATAAACAAAACAACGTAGCGGTATAGAAACAGAAAATAATGACAAGACGACGTGTATTCACTCGACATTAGACAACAATTTGCTTTGATTATGAAGACGAAAGTAATATGGATGAGATATTAAAAAACGAAGCTTCTGTCACTGCAGCCGTCGGCAGTGACCTTCACGAAGCCGGGTGCACGGGCCTAAAAGACGTATATTCCCGTATTATAAGGATAAGACCGTCACTGAGTTAAGAATTTGACATGAGGCTTCTTTATTTGTTACTTAATTTACCTACCAACTTATCTCTTCACATCCGTCCTGGTTTCATCTCTTTCTCTTTCTCTCTTCCTCACTCCCCCCCTCCCCTTTCTCTCTCTCTTTCTCTAACTAATCTCCCCTCGCCTCTTTATCCCCCGACTCCTCATTCTATCTCCTTTCTCGCTATTCATGTCCCCCCACCCCCACCCCCTCTCTATCTCCAGCCAGTAGCCTTAAAATCTGCTCTTTCCAGACGCTGCGTACGTGCATAGCCAGACGGATGTTCAGACATTTCTCAACGCCTTTTGTAGAGCGAATGCAGATAATAAAGGCTGCCATGTAAGTATTCAAAGACTTTGGTAAATGTTCGCTTTAGTAATTACATCATTTCAACTAACGAATGTTGAAGACAAAATTATACTTTGTCGGAAACGAAACTCCACCTCAAACTGATTTAATTATTGATCCATACCGTTAACAGCATCACGTCCCCCCTCTTTCCATCCACACAGAGCAAGCCCCTCGTGACAGAGGGAGGCGCTGGAGGCTCCATCCCCGGGCTGGACCAAGGCAGCAATGTGGCGTGCCTGCCGGGGACGAAAAGGTGCACGCAAATGCCGAATCTGTGTGTGCCTTCAGACATCCCCTGCAGTGTTATAGGTGAGCCTGACAGCTTGAGATATGGTTTTGGTGTAGATTTATGCCTTCACAAACACACATATATATATTTATAAATACATGTATATGTACATTTATACATATGTGTTACATAAATCCATTATCACCTTTATGTATATGCATTTCATATATATATATATATATATATGTGCGTGCGTGTTTATATACATGTATATGTACTACATATACATGATGATTTACATATATATATACATGTACATATATATGTATATTTATATATGTGTGTGCATGTAAATATATATATATATATATGAATGTATATATGTATATATTTATATACATATACATATACATATATATATATATATATATATATATATATTCATATATATGTTATATATGTATTCATATAAATTCATATATGTATTTATGTAAATTTATATATTCATTCACATATATATGTTTATATTTATACATATATGTATTCATATGTATATATGTATATATATATATTCCTATATATATACAGATACATGTATATGTGTGTGTATGTAAATGTATATATATATAAATATACATATGCATATAATTTATATATATCCACACACACGTGTGTGTGAATATATACACATTTGTAGGGCACACACATGAATATGTATATATGTCAGAGTATACTTATACATACACATACACATACATATACATATATATGTTTATATATATATATTTATACGTGTATACATATATGTTTTAATCATTAGTGAAAAACTACTTGTTCTTGCTCCGTTAAAAGTGCATTATTTTAGTTACATTGCTGCATAAAGTTTGTTCACTCGACATTTGACAACACTTTGCTTTGATTATTAAAACGAAAGAAATGTGGATAAAATATTTAAAAACGAAGCTACTCCGTCACTGCAGCCGTTGGCAGTGACCTTCACGAAGCCGGGCGCACGGACCTAAAATACGTATATTACCGTATTATAGGGATGAGAAGACTGTCACTGAGTTAAGAAATTGACATGAGGCTTCTTTATTTCTTACTTATTTTACCTGCCAACTTATCTTTACACATCCGTCCTGTTTTCATTTCTCTCTCTCTCTTTCTCTCTTCCTCACTCTCCCCTTCTATTTCTCTCTCTCTCTCTCTCTCTCTATCTCCAACCAATCTCCTCTCGCTTTTTTATCCCCCGAGTCCTTATTCTATCTCATTTCTCGCTACCCCCCCCCCCTCCAGCCAGTAGCCTTGAAATCTATTCATTGTCGTCCCGCAATGCTTTTTCCAGACGCTGTGAACGTGCATAATCAGACGGATGTTCAGACATTTCTCAACGCCTTTTGTAAAGCGAATGCATATATAAAAGGCTGCCATGTAAGTATCCAAAGACTTTGGTAAATGTTCGCTTTAGTAATTACATCATTTCAACTAACGAATGTTGAAGACAAAATCATACTCTGTTGAAAACGAAACTCCACCTCACAATGATTTAACTATTGATCCATACCGTTAACAGCATCACGTTCCCCCTCTTTCCATCCACACAGAGCAAGCCCCTCGTGACAGAGGGAGGCGCTGGAGGCTCCATCCCCGGGCTGGACCAAGGCAGCAATGTGGCGTGCCTGCCGGGGACGAAAAGGTGCACGCAAATGCCGAATCTGTGTGTGCCTTCAGACATCCCCTGCAGTGTCATAGGTGAGGCACGCAAGAGGTCGTTGGGCATCAGCTCGATTGGTGAGCAGGGCGGGGCTGCGGCAGTTTGAGATATGGTTTCCGTGTGGATTTATGACTATACAAACACACATATACACGTGTTTATATCTACATACATATGTACATTTATATATATGTATGTTATATATATATATTATCATATTTATATTTATTTATTTCATATATGTATATGTTCGTGTGTGTTTATATACATATATATGTAATACATATACATGATAATTTACATATATATACACATGTACATATATATGTATATGTATACGTGTGTGTGTGTGTATGTGTATATATATGTAATATATATATATATGTATGTATGAATGTATATGTCAGTATATATATATATATATATATATATTCATATATATGTTTATAAATACATGTATTCATATATATATATATATATATATATATATTCATATATATATATATATATATATATATATATATATATCAATATATATGCACACATATATCTGCATATGCGTTTGTATGCTATATGTATATATATATATATATATATATATATATATATATGCATATTATATATATATATATATATATATATATATCCACAAACATGTGGGTGAATATATACACATTTGTAAGATATTTACACATATGTATATATGAATATATGTGTATATGTATATATATGTCTGTGTGTACACATACATACACATTCACATACATATGCATATATGTATGTGTATGTGTTTTTATATATTTACATATATATAAATATTCATATTAATTATCTGTGAAAAACTACTTGTTCTTGCATGTTAAAAGTGCATCATTTTAGCTACATTGCTGTACAAAGTTTGTTTAATAAATGCAGTGTTCTTCTAATGCTTCGAGAAAGGCAGAAACAGAAACTTTTTCCTCACAGAATCAAGACGTTGGCTAGCGTATCACTCCAGTAATCTTTTCCTAGTATTACTTAAGGAAATAATACTAGGAAAAAAAGTCCTCGCTTGTTCAGAAGGTCAGTTCGGCTTTACAGGTAAATGCGCATTTAAAGATAAACAAAACAACGTAGCGGTATAGAAACAGAAAATAATGACAAGACGACGTGTATTCACTCGACATTAGACAACAATTTGCTTTGATTATGAAGACGAAAGTAATATGGATGAGATATTATAAAAACGAAGCTACTCCGTCACTGCAGCCATCGGCAGTGACCTTCACGAAGCCGGGTGCACGGGCCTAAAAGACGTATATTCCCGTATTATAAGGATAAGACCGTCACTGAATTAAGAATTTGACATGAGGCTTCTTTATTTGTTACTTAATTTACCTACCAACTTATCTCTTCACATCCGTCCTGGTTTCATCTCTCTTTCTCTTTCTCTCTTCCTCACCCCCCCCCCTCCCCTTTCTCTCTCTCTCTTTCTCTAACTAATCTCCCCTCGCCTCTTTATCCCCCGACTCCCCATTCTATTTCCTTTCTCGCTATTCATCTCCACCCCCACCCCCACCCCATCTCTATCTCCAGCCAGTAGCCTTAAAATCTGCTTTTTCCAGACGCTGCGTACGTGCATAGCCAGACGGATGTTCAGACATTTCTCAACGCCTTTTGTAAAGCGAATGCAGATAATAAAGGCTGCCATGTAAGTATTCAAAGACTTTGGTAAATGTTGAAGACAAAATCATACTCTGTTGAAAACGAAACTCCACCTCACAATGATTTAACTATTGATCCATACCGTTAACAGCATCACGTCCCCCCTCCTTCCATCCACACAGAGCAAGCCCCTCGTGACAGAGGGAGGCGCTGGAGGCTCCATCCCCGGGCTGGACCAAGGCAGCAATGTGGCGTGCCTGCCAGGGACGAAAAGGTGCACGCAAATGCCGAATGTGTGTGTGCCTTCAGACATCCCCTGCAGTGCCATAGGTGAGGCACGCAAGAGGTCGTTGGGCATCAGCTCTATTGGTGGGCGGAGCGTGACTGTATATGTGCATTATATATATATATGTATATATATATATATTCAAATGTGTATATATATATATATATATATATATATATATATATACACATATATATATATATTATCATGTATATGTATCTGTATATATTTATATATATTTGTACACATGCACTACATATAAACGATAATTTACTTATATAAATATATATATTTATATGCACATGTATATGTATATATAAATGTTAATTAAAAAAATAGCTAATTCTAACTTGAGTGCTGGTCCATGGGGCTTAGATGATCTTACTTCGTCGTGAGTTAGCAAAGCCTTCCCCAGACTCTTCGTCCCTCCTCCTGAGACCCGATACAACTCTGGTTCGTTCTGTCTCTCTACCAATATATATTCTTGTAAAAATTCTCTCCATGTATCTATTTTGGTTTATTATTCGAAGCGTCACGATTTATTTTCTTTTCTTACAGTGGCTGATTTCCTTTGTATCTTTGTGTACACTGTCTTTGAACACTTTGTGTTACTGTGTTTGTGTATATATGTGTATATTTATACATACACACACACACACACACACACACACATATATATATATATATATATATATATATGTATATATATATATATACATACATACATATACACACATATATATATATATGTATATATATATATATATATATATATATATATATATATATATATATATATATATATGTATATATATATATATATGTATATATATATATATATATATATATATGTATACACACATATATATATATATATATATATATATATATATATATATATATATGTATACACACACATATATATATATATATATATATATATATATATATATATATATATATATATATGTATGTATCCATATCCATACACACATGCAGCCACAAGAGAACTTTTCTAACACGGTCTGTGTTTTCAGGATCCGACAGGTTTTGCGAGCAACCGAAAGCGATCAACACGAAGCAACGCGTCCTCGTGTGTGGCGACGGAAGCACCGTGTACGTTATGCTTGGTTACTTTCACATACAATAGATGTCGGTGCTTTGTAGACACACACACACGTGTGCGTATATGTGTGTGTGTGTCTGTTTATATATACATATTCATATATATATACATATGTTTATTAATATATGTATATGTATATATATGTACATATACATATATACGTACATATAAGCATATATATATATATATATATATATATATATATATATATATATATATATATAGAATTGTCGTCAGCCTGTCTTCCGTTTTTTGTTTCCAGTCTTGGCCCTCAAATTTCGTTATTTCGTCACGCAATCTTGTTACTGGTCTAGCCCTTGGCCTCCTTATGTTTTTTATAACTCAGTCTGTTACTTTCTTTGTCCATATGTCATTCTGTCTTCGACAATTTACAAAGGACTGGCTCTCTCCCTAGCGAACTACGTAACCCCCTGGCCAATCCCTCTGGAACAGGTTGTCACTCTAGAACCTTTCCAGCTTCCAAAGGACAAAAATGGGAATAGAAGTGCTTCCTGGGCTCCCAGGCCAGGTGAGGAGAAAAGCCCTCCTCAATCCGTCAAGGAAATCTTACCTGGTAAATATGAAAGTATCTCATATAAGAAGTACCTTGTAGTAAAAACCATTGGTGGTGTGTCCATCGTGGATCTTGATATTTTTGAAGTGCATCGCAAGATAGTTGAGGTTGTCAACGGGATCCACGGATCACCCCTCAGCGAGATGGCAGCCTGATAGTTGCGGTCTCGTCACCAGATGAGAGTGACCGTCTACGTGCGATATGCGACATTCCTGGGGCTCAGGTTTCACAGACACTCAATCAGTGCAAGGGGATTGTCTTTATTCGAGACCTGATGAGGTATTCTGAGGAGAAACTGTTAGAGGAACAAAAGAATTTCAAGGTAGTGGCACTAAAGCGTTTTAAGAAAAAAGTATATGGTGTGGAACAATCGACACCAGCACTTCTAACTTTTGAAACACTGGTCCTTCCGGAATCGGTTAAGTTGGCATGGACCACCTCATGTGGCATGTGCCCAACCCTATGCGGTGCTTCCATTTCCAGGGTTATGGGCATGGAACCAATGGACTACCAAGAGCTGTCATCCAGGAGATGACAGCTGTCCAGGTCCAGGTTATCACTACAAAGAAACCCATGAAAATTAAGGTACAAGTTTGAAAATGTATTGGTAATAATTAGGAAGGAGAAAGTTAGTTTTCCAGAGGCAAAGCGTCATGCTCATGTGCTTTTTGTACAGCCAGGTAAGTTATTTTCATTGGTTCTGACCCAACCTCCTTCCCGCCATCCCTTATCCTCCAGTACTTCTTACACTACTCATTCTGCTACTGCAGTCCGACCTCAGTCCTCAAAGGAAGCTTCAGATCCAAAAACTGACTCTGGTGAGTTGTGCCACCAGAAGTAGAGTAAGAGTGATGAGTCACATTTACAGGGGCCTCTGCTGCTGGTCAGAATGCCCCTGAACCAAAGGCTCAGGTCTGCCCTTTGCCCAGGCAAAGCAACCCTGAACCTGTACCAAGGACTCTTCCCCAGGGTGAAGTCTTTGGAGTCGTCAGGCAAGGTTCCAGAGGCTTTCAGGGTGACAGTACCATCTCTTACCCCATCCAAGGGGGCCTCTGCTACCAGATAGAATGCCCCTGAACCAAAAGCTCAAGTCCGCCCTTTGCCCAGGCATAGAAATCCTGAGCCTGGCCAAAGAAAGCCTGTGGAAAATAATTCCATAGGTAAGCATCTCTCCATAAGGCACACTAAAGACACTGGTAAGGGAAAGCTTAAACGTGTGGTAAGGGCCTTAACCGCAGGTGCTGCCAAACACCTTATGAAAAGGTGAAAAGAACTTGATACCCCAATTTAATGGAATTGTCAGGGAATTCATGCAAAATGGGAGGAATTCAAGCCCATATGGGACCTTTGATAATAACCCTCGTGGAGGAGTAGCCAAGATATTCCCTTTCAGGCCATCCACCTGCAGACGGCACTACAGTTGAAAGGTGTGTTGATAGGCTTGACATAATCTTACACTATTGCATCCATACAATATCAACAAGGACGATTTGTAAGATCTACTTGGTCAATTGCCCCATCCATTTCTACTCTTGGGAGATTTCATTGGCCGGCATCACCTCTGGGGAGACACTTTGTGCAACCCTCATTGAAGGACCTTGGAGTCCTTGCCCGCAAGAGTAGATGCAGGCTTTCTGAACAGTAACACCCCACACACTCCCAAATTCAAACTGGGGCATTCTCCAATATTGACCAGTGAATTGGTTCACAGCTGGATATTACTTGGCAGGTCATGGAAGACTTACATGGAACCGACCACTTTCCAATACTATTGGAGGAGGTGAATGGCATACCAGCCAATGAGGTGAAAATATTGCGACTTGAACATACAGATTGGAATCTTTTTAGATTAGTTGCAGTAATGCAGAGATCTGTGAATGATTTCCAGTGTGTTTGAGATGCTGTTGATCATTTCACATCACGAATTCGCCTTGCAGCAAAAGTATCCATTCCCAAAAGTATTGAGTAGTACCATTGACCTCTAGTAACATAGTGTTCTGATGAATGCCAACAAGCTGTCAGAGCAAGAAAAGCTACACTAATGCAGTTGAAACAACGGCCTAGTGATGTAACCCTGATCCATTATAAAACGATCTGAGCCAAAGCCAGGTGACTGCTAAAGGAGGCCAGACGGACAAAGCATGTCTCCTCGATTAACTCCAGGACCTCCTTAGCATGGGTATGGGACCAAATGATATCACACTTATCTGAGAGCTTCCAAAAGTTCCTGTTGGACCTATTCAATAGGATCTTGAAGGAAGGCACAGTGCCATCCTTATGGAAAGAAGATATAATCATTCCTATCCCAAAACCTGGCAAGGATGCTTCCATACCAGAGAATTACAGATCAATTTCTCTCATCATCTGCAAGCTGATGGAGAAAATGGTAAACTTCAGGATGACATGGTTACTAGAAAAGGAAAACTTGCTAACCCAATATCAGTATGGGAAAGAAAATTGAGATCTACCACATGTGAGGATGGAGACTGCTCTACAGAATTCCTTCACATAGTGACGTCACATGTTAGTAGTCTTCTTTGACCTCGAAAAGGCTTACAATACTACTTGGAAGCATGGCATACTCATGAAGCTGCATGACATTGGTTTAAGAGGAGCATTACCTACCTTCATACAATACTTCTTTGCTCATCGGAAGTTTAGAGCGCGGCTTCTCTAACCTGAAAGATCAGTGGGAAGGGGTCTCACAAGAGAGAGTGTCTTAAGTGTGACCCTTTTTGCCACTGTTATTAATGACATCACAAAGGTCGTTATCAGCTCTGTCTTCGCGTAGTCTGTGTGTGGATGACTTTGGGTGAGTTGTCATATATATATATATATATATATATATATATATATATATATATATATATATATATATATATACTTGTCCACTACCTTGTACATTTATCTGTTTGAATTGATCTCTGCTGTTGAACATGACCTTAGTATTTTTCTTGTTCAATTTTGAGACTCTATTCAGATCATTTATTAATTGCTGTAGTTCACCGATTCATTAAAGAGAAGATTATCTGTTACATTCTAGTTTCTTGAATATTTCCTAAAGTTAAGCTGCAAACAGTTTTGGTGAGATTGTGTAGCCCTGTCTAACACATTATTTAAATTGGTATTTTATTGGTTTTTGTGTGGAGCTTGATGTCCCATCTTCGTATATATCTTCCAATAATTTAAAATAGACTTTCTCTACTCCTTGCCTTCGAGTAGCTTCTAATACCGCTAATACTTCTAATACAAAATCGAATGCCTTTTCGTCATCGGTGAATACCATACACAGGCGCGCGCGCGCGCGCGTGTGTGTGTGTGTGTGTGTGATTTCATCCCATGATTCATGCAGAAATAATT